TGGCTTAAAGAATTTTTTCCCTATAAACATGACCAATGATACTGGACACCACTGGTCACTCGCTTCTATATGCTCAGGAGGCTGAGATCTTACAATCGTAATTCAAAGCCAGCACAGGCAGACAAATCCAGGAGACTCTTTCATTTCCAATTAAACATTAAAAAACTGGAAATGGAGGCTTGTCTCAAAGGACAGAGCACCTTGTCAATGGAAAAACAAGTGATAGACCACAAGGCCCTGAGTTCAAGCTCAAGTATTTCTCTCTCTCTCTCTCTCTCTCTCTCTCACACACACACACACACACACACACACACACTCACACACACTCAAACATAAGAAAAGCAGTCAATGATAATAAACCTTGCAAAAGAAGGACATCATTATAGAAACACATATCTAGGGAATTAAATCATTGCTTAGTGACATGACTATAGAAGAGTACATGATTAAAGATGACAAGCTATAGAAATAAAAGCAAAACCCTGACATACCTATGTAGAATAATAACTGGTTGATCTATTAACTTGGTAAATATTTAGTCATTCTATGAACATTTCCTTTATAAAAATATTCTAATGATTGATATATACTTCCCTAGACCTTGTTATTTTTAAGAACACTCTTGAATTTATGGAATTATGTCATCCTCATGAAATTCATCTTAGAAAAATGAACATCTCATCTACTTTTGGGATTCCTGAATTACACATATCTAGAAAAACTTTGTATTTATATAGGAACCTGAATTTGTGCTTATTTGCTCATCCCATCTCACCCCAATTCCCAGGAATCTATGCTTTATTTGATTGGGATGGAAACCAGGACCCCAATAATGTTTTAAAAAAAAATCCCCATCCGAGGTGACATCCTGCAATGCCTTACTTGAACAGTAGAGGTCAGCATTTCCCTTCATAAGGACTCAGAGGCATGACCTTTAAACATCAAATAATTTTAATATAAATACTAATGTTATATCTTTATGTGTGAAACTAATTGTGCAATATCAATCAAAGACTTTGTTCATTATCCAAGCTTCTCAAGGGTACAACAAAGAAAATAATTTTCTTTTCCTTCCAATAGTGAGTCCTTTACATTTGAGCACTGACAGGTAAGCTATGAGTGGAAGGTATGTTAGCTGAGTGACAGTTGGCCTGGCTGCATGAAATGAAATAACTGCATGCGTATAACCCCCAAGTCAGAAGTCAGACCAGACATCTCCTATTCCCCATTTGATCTAAATTAATTCTCCCCAGAGAAAGCCTAGTTCCCAAAGGATGAGGAAAACAGACTGAATTACTGAAGAAAGAAGCGGATGGAAGAACTTCACATCCTGTCTCCAGTGAGTGCTGTTCATCATCCTGCAGCCAGCCCATTTCCCAGCTTGCTCTCTCCCACTTACCTATGTGCCCACCCCTATCTGGGTGTGGATGATGAGGGTTTTTCTATCACCTTTCCCTCCTCTCTGTAGTATGCTTTCCATGTCATTAGAAATCAGCCTCTTTGGGGAGTTGAACTAAAGGCCTTGTATTTACTGGGCAAGCACGTGAGCCACACCTCCAGCTTTTTTCTTTTGCTTTCCTTTTCCTTTAGTGGACATCCTCTGCCTATAGAGTTCCTGTTTCTCATCAAGCTGCAGCTTTTTTTTTCTTTAGTTGTGCTGCTGGAGTTTGAACTCGGGGCCTTGCACATGCTAGGTAGGTGCTCTGCCACCAAAACCATCCACGTCAATCAAAGCTAGCTCTCTTTTTGTGCTAGATATTTTTATTTCACAGAAGAGATCAGATGTGTGTCAGAAACTGGATGTGTATAGGAAATGATTTTAAAAAAAACTTCTATGAGCTTAAATTTAAGACTTGAAAAGTAGCCACGCCCTTGATGCGTCCACCTACAATCTCAGCTACTCAGGGGTTGAGCTCTGAGAGATGAAAGAGCAAAACCATCCAAACCATCCTCACCTGCCTCGGGCTCAATTATTGGGAGTACTTTCCCTCTCCACACAAAGCCTCAGCGGTTTGTGGGCCCTTCTTTCTTGTTTGCCAGTGTCCCCACTCTGCATACTACCTGTCATAAGGTAAGAGTTCTGTGAATAGTCACGAAATTGCAGGTTTTGTGCAGAGCAGATCTGCCATGAATCATAAAAGTAACAACAAGTGTATGGACATATATTGACAACCAGTGCCTGCAAGCCTTGCCTTTCCTGCCAGAAAGCTGCTAGATGGGACAGATTATCTGTTTTCTGTCACTGATTTACTGCCCTTGAGTTCTGTAACAAGATCAGTGAACACAAAGAGCACCACACGATTGGCCTTCAACACCACTGAGCAAATAATACTCCCTGTCCCCTCCTCCAATGGCATCGGTGCTGGAAAACATGGAAGGCTTTCAGTAAGTGAATCTCTGCAAATACATTTCCTGTCTTTGAAAAAAATCAGATAATTGGGGCTGGGACGGTGACTCAGTGGTAGAGTGCTTGCCTTGCTTGCATGAGGCCCTGGGTTCCATTTCTCAGCACCACATAAGCAGAAAAAGACAGAAGTGGTGCTGTGGCTCAAGTGGTAGAGCACTAGCCTTGAGCTGAATTGCTGAGGGACAGCGCCAGGCCCAGAGTTCAGGCCCCACTACCAACAACAATAACAACAACAAAAATCAGGCCGTCAGCTTTTTAAGATGGATGAGTTAAGAATGGTGGGGTGGATGTCTATAACTATAGAAAACATCTGGCAAGAATTAGAAGGAAAGAAACTCATTTGGGAAGTATACTGCTCAGACCTCGCACACCACAGCCACATTGACACACGTAAGGGTAAGTGAAAGGGAGAAGAGCGGTGTACCAGTCTGGGGGCATTAGTGTCCCCAAAATGCTGGGTAAGCTAAGAATAAGAGTGCCAGTGAGATACTACAGTACCAAGATGGAGGGCTGGCCCAAACCAACAGCCACAAACCAAAAGAAGGTGAGGGAAATGTTTCCAAGATGTAAATTCCCTCCGTCAACGTGGAGTCATGGCATGGAGCACAGACATGTGAGTTAGCCAGACCCAGACCAGACGCAGATCAGCAGCTACCACCTTTGTGCTCTGAGCTTCCATTCCATCATCTGTCACACTTAGTGGTTCTGAGAAGAGAAATGCATAGCATAGTTTGGCAACTGGAACACATCAGTGAAAGCCACTTTGCAACCACAATAAGTAATCTGCAATTACTTACAATAAGTACCTCCACTAGAGGCCTTCTATGGATCTGATAGAACCACTGCTAAGTCTCTGCTTGTAGGAACATGTGGTCTAGCTTTTTTACCATCTTCCTTCTGACATGGTAAGAATACCAGTCAGGGTAAAACGGTGTGATAAGTATAAAGGAATATCCACTTTAATGTTGAAGAGGTCTAGTCTCTGCCAAAAGAAATCCCCCCAAATTAAATTAGTAATTGTCAACTATTGCTAATTGATGAAATCCCAGTAATAATATCTCATCACAAAAACCTCCCCCCCTCAGAAGTGGCTCAAGTGGTAGAGTGCTCGCCTTGAGCTGAAGAGCTCAGGGACAGCACCCAGGCCCAGAGTTCAAGCCCCACAACCGACAAAACAAAACAAAACAAAAAACCTCCCCCCCAAAACATTGTTTTCATCTTAACAGTTCTTTTTAAATCAGAAAAAATTGTATATCACTAAAATAAAATCCTACCCAGCTTATTGGGATAACCATTTTCTCAGTTATATTCTGTAGGAAAACACTCTGGTATCACCTTTCATTAACATGCACATATTTGATTTTTCATCCAATTGTGTAGTCTTCTAAGCAAAACTAAAACCAAAGAAAATGGAGCACTCCGTGTTAATAAGCAGAGCACAAACTTGCAAAGACACACACGTATTTTTCTTTGTTTACACTACACATTTTTGTTTTTGTAAGTCTGAGTTAAAGGAATTGGTGATTTTAATCTGTACTACCAAAAGAAAAAATGTTTATGGTCTCATAATATTACAAGATTCAGTTTCAAGTGATTGTTCGAACCACTCTCTGGAAGCAAGCTCAGATAACTTGTTATCTCTCTCATTAAAAAAAAAAACAACCTTAAAAAAATAATGAGAATGTTTCACTTTGTCTACAAAAACCCCAAAATATTTTAAGTAGTGCATTTGCTGGAATTTTGATGGTTGAGTTTGGATTTCCTCTTACTAAGTGAAATACGTTGAAATGGTTGAAATCCTTGCAAGGAAGATTCCCCAGTGACAATATTGTATTTATAAATAATACAAAGGTGAAGGAAAAGAGGTAGCATGATAATAAAATGGAATGTCCCGTATCTACTCACTATTTTAATGATTTTTATTTAGGAGCATATGACTGCCATTTGGGAAATGTTTAGAAATTGTGGAAACTTCTAATTTGTATTAATAAACAACAAAGGATGAAAACTTTACTCAGGGCAGGACAAAGAGAAATCTGAACATTTGGGATGCTTGACTACCATAACAGGAGGCTTACATTTTCTTATTTAGATTAACGTTTAGAAGGATAAATACAGGCTAACAATGTATTACTCTTGATTTTTAGTGATCTCTTTTAAAACTGAAAGACATTGCTTAGGAACAAAAGCCAGGGTGGGTGAATTCACTTTTAGTGACTGCATTGTGAATAAACCAAACTTCCTGTGGTTGAATTAAATCTTTTTCTTTCATGTTGTTTTGTGAGTTTGGCTAGTATGCACATAATTTACAAGAAATGGGACACACGTCTCTTAGGAATGCCCTAATTTCCCATCATTTTGTCTGATTAAATGAATTGAAGAGCAGTAGTGTTCCTAAATGAGGCCAGCAGGCAAGAGGAGTTGTGTGACAAGTAAATAAGTCTTGCTGGGAAGATGTTGCTCAAATGATAAAATGGTTCAGCCAACAACTGAACCAAAAAATTAAATATTAACTAAAGAGAGATAACCATTTCTAAAGCCATGACTAACTGAAGACTCAGTATATATAGGATTGAAGATAACGCAGCTAAGTCTTCAGGCACAGGCTGATTTCTTGGGACTTCTGAAACCATGAAACGTCTGCTGTTGCTACTCTTATGTGTTTACTTTGCTAAGTCTCAAGGTATCAGTGACTACGATGATGAGGTGATTTTTAAAATAGTATTGTTGCTATTAATATGATTCATATAAAATAGAATATTTGTATGTGGCTAGTCTTTTGGATGAAGTTATCATTTATTATAATTATGAAATTGAATTATTAATCTCAGGGAATTATTTTACTTAAAGAATACTTCATAATAGCTTACATATGAAAGCAAAAAAAATCTTATTTCTGTCTTATTTTTATTTTCCAGGACAAAGATGATTTAGCTAACGTAAAATGTGTTTTTCTTCTTTGTGTTATCCCAAGTACTATGATTTTTTTCATCTTGCTTTAGTTTCCTAGGCTGCAAGACAGCAAAAGAATTTTTTTTTCCAATAAAAAGTTGTGGTCAATAAGTTGCAAAATATAACTCCTGAGATTATTAAGTTTGAAAAAGAATTATAATTTAGGTTTAACAATAGAATAGATAAAATATAGTAATAAAAAAGAACTATTGTTTTTAGATGGAAAATTTAAGTCGGAGTTGGTCTATTGTTATTATTAATCTAAATTTTATATTTTTAATATTTTTCTTAGTTTAATGTTTTTCATTTTTAGAACTTATTTTCTCTAGTATCATTTTTTATAATTTATTGCTATTAATGTTATAAAAAGCAGAAATGCACTTATGCAAATATGTACTGACAGAATTTAATGTTAATTCTAAAATGTACCATAATCAAACTTATTGTTCAAAATATAATATCTTCATACTCGAAATACGACTAGACATCATGAACTAAGTCAAACTTACAAGGAAGTATCTCTTGTTTTCTTTCTCATATTTGAAGTTTAGAAGGGAAATAAAAGGATATGAAAAGAAAAGACTACTAGAAAAGTCTACTAGGGGCTCTGAGGGTCTTAGAGGGTTTGACTCTAATCAAAGTGCATTGCATAAAAGTGTGAAGATATCATAATGAAATTCATTACTTTGTACAAGTAATATGTGCTAATAAAAATGCACACTACTATTTAAATGAAGTGGTTCCTTTTGGATCATTTGTTGAATTCGAAGGGAATGTAAGTATTTTAACATGGTACTTATGAAAATAATTCTCTGGTTAATCATATTAGGTAAGAATAATTGAATAGGTAGTAATAATAATAAAGAAAGAATAGGTAATAATAAATGACTAAGTCTTTGTACTTTGCAGTACTTTACAAAGTACTTTCACATTCCTACCCACCCACTAGTCCTCACAGAAAAAGCTTAGTAGCTTAGGCTCCAAAATGTGTTTTCTGGTTTTAGTCATTTCAAGAAGTGTTCTTGGTAAACCAGCCTAAATCCCCCATTAATTCTTTTTTTGGGGGAGGGAGGTGTCCAGTCGTGGGGCCTGAACCCGGGCCTGGGTGCTGTCCCTCAGCTCTTCAGCTCAAGGCTAGCGCTCTACCACTTGAGCCACAGCGCCACTTTGGCTTTTTTCTTTTTGCTTATGTGGTGCTGAGGAATCGAACCCAGGGCCTCATGCATACAAGGCAAGCACTCTACCACTGAGCCACCTTCCCAGAGCCCCACCCCATTAATTCTTTGGTTTTCATTTTTTTTACTCTAGAAATCCAGACCACCAATACTACCATCTAGTAGCACTCTCAAAAGAAACTAACTTTCATCTGTATCATTTTCTTTGCAATAAACAGATGAACTATACTTTGTAATGTTTGTGTGAGAGCAGACAACTCTGGCTGACACCATATTTTGGGTGTGAGATGCACAGGTTCCTTTAAGATTGTCACACATGAATGATGTGTGTGTCTATGTAGATCGGTGGCAATCTAGAGCCAGTCTACCTGACTTTCTAGGCTAGTGCCACCGCTTTTCATGTTAAATAATATATAGTTGCATGAATGATGGCAATAAAATTCCAAACACAATACATTAGGTGATATTTTTAGATTCACACAGTCGCAAGCTGCTACTCCACAGTTTTTAATTTGTTAATCTAAAATTAAGCCCCTAAGAGTAAAAAATGTGAAAAAATCTATAATATACTATTATGCATTTTACATTTCATGATTTGTAATGTAGTATGTTTAAGTTAGCAAACAATATTAATTGCAACATTAAAAAAACTTACAAACTAGTTCAAATATGAGAAAAGTCATAAGATTTGGTAACATGTATAGGAAATTTTTTTTAAATGACTTAGTAAATAATTTGAATGACAGAAAAATGAAAGTGGAATTAGCAGTTGTAAAACTACTTAAAGAACTGTTAGGAACTGTCCCAATTAAAAAAAAAAGATCATTTACAATGTGCTAGATACTGGTCAGAGGGTGTCATACATTAAATATTTAACCTTTACAATACTCTTATAAAGTAAACACAAACTGCTCACCAGTATTTTACAGATGAGAAAACCGAGAGACAGATAAAGTAACTGCCCAAAGCATCAAAACTCGTGAGTGCAGTTTAAAAACTTGGACCCACACAGTCTGATTCCACAGTAGCTTATTCTGCTTATAACCTGTTAGAATCAAAGATCATCTTAGTACAAACAAATTTTCAGTAAATTTCACTTTCAGTGAGTCTTTATTGTCTCTTAAATATGATTACATAAGAATGGCCTGATCATAAATTCATAAAAGGTCTATGTGGGGGGGGAACCAGTATCACCTGTAGGAATTTAGTAATCCAAGAGTCTTGGAAATTATTCTTCTTGACAGTATAGATTCCTCATCTTTTGTTTGTTCCAGTATTTAGACTTCAAGAACCTGAGGTCATGATTGTCTCTAACCTGAAATGGTTTTGTCTCAGGATTTCTCTTTTAAAACTTCTTTGGGTCTAATACCTTTATACACAGCTGACCTTCCAAATGCTAATAAGGAGATGGCGATGGGTGATCTCAGTTACAAACCAAATGACCTGTAACCCTGGCTTTTGTTTCCATCTGGCCTCTTGTAGGTACTAGTGGATGCCCGGGGCCATCGGCCCATTGACCGGAGGAGGGAAGAGGCTCCCAGCCTGAGACCTGTGGCGCCCCCTATCAGTGGAGGGGGCTATCGGGCTCGTCCAACGAAGCCACTTGCCAAACAAACCAAGGTGGAAAGAAAAGCCCCGGATGCTGGAGGCTGTTTTCATGCAGACACAGACATGGTGGGTGCTCCATTAGTCCTGGTAGTGATGACCTCTCCTTCCCAGGGAGAGAACACTCCAGGTTCTCTGAACCTGCCTTACCATCTGTGCTCCTTTGCTTATTTAGGAAATCTATTTCAAAACACCTGTTTAACTCAATCTTTGATTTAGGCTTCCTTGCTTGTCTTCTTTGGTCTAGGCCTAAGATAGGACAAATTAAGGCATGATTTTGTGGCCCCAATACCATTCTTTTGTGACAAAGGTTGAGTTTATTCTTCATAACAGTATGGTGACACTTCTGAAGTTTCTGGATTGCCATAAAGAAAACGAATGCATTTTTTTATATTGACTAGTGAGATCATTGAATTTTTTACTACGGGCTATTTTCACAAACACCCAGAACCGCATTCTTTATCTAATGCCTGCTGTTTTCTTTGTTTGCAGGGAGTGTTGTGTCCAACAGGATGTCAGCTGCAACAGACTTTGCTAAACCAGGAAATACCCATCAGAAACAGTATTGCTCAGTTAAATACCAACGTGGAGTCTGTTTCTCAGACCTCTACCAGCACCTTCCAGTACATGAGTCTGCTGAAAAACATGTGGAAAAAGAGGCAGGACCAGTTGAAAGGTAGAGTCCGAGTGATCTCCACTGGCTGTGGCTATGCAGTCAGCTCGTTTAGATACTTCTTTCAGTCTATCTTGATGACTGGGTGTTCTCCCCCAGCAGTTTTCTTGATAAATACTATTCAAGTATTGGTTACCAGCCAGGGGTCCACAAGGAAGATTTTTCTATGAAAAAGTTTTTCTGTGCTTTCTTCTTTTAATCTACAAGAAATTTCTTACGACTCAGAAGGTAATCGCATGTCTAGTTTAACATCTTGAGGTTTTAAGTATGCGTGGACAATCCACAATGGGTACAATGACTTGAAAATAGTGAAATGTAACTTGTGACTCTTGAAGTTGAGTGTTCAGTGCCACCAGCATGGCAGTGTGACCTATGAGCCCGGCACAGACATTTCTCAGAGGAATCAAGGGCTGTGAGTGGCTCTTGTTAATGTCAAAGATCTGAAGTACCGATATGGAATGGAAAAGTAAACCATGTGCATCTGCTCCATAAGACATGGATTGCACTTTGAAATAGAAAGGCCAAGTATGCTTCCTCTTCTTTTCCTCACCAAAGAAGGAAAACACAAGCTGGGTGCTGGTGGCTTATGCCTGTAATCCTAGCTACTCAGGAGGCTGAGATCTGAGGATTGTGGTTCAAAGCCAGCCTGGGCAGAAAAGTGCCTGTGAGACACTTATCACTCAAAAACCAGAAGTGTTGTGGTTCAAGTGGTAGAGCACTAGCCCTGAGTACAAAGAGGCTCAGGGACAGGGCCTAGGCCCTGAGTTCAAGCCCCACAACAGATTTTAAAAAAGAAAGGAAATAACGTATTGTATGTTAAATCTGTACCTCTGATAAATGACTGGTGAAGTAGAACTGTCTATTAATTTGTATATGTCATGTTTCCCCTAAATTTAACTGTGGTGTTTTGATTGCTTGATAGTTACACAATGTCTGCTACTTTATTTTTATAAAATCAAAATCATGATTACGTAGTTGAATCCACTTTGATTTTTACCAAGCAAAAATGTTAACCATTCCTATATAACTGTGCTTTTCCAGACAATGAGAATGTGATCAATGAGTATTCCTCAGCATTGGAAAACCAACGCATCTATATAGACGAAAGTGTCAACAGTAACATCCCAACTAACCTCCGCGTGCTCCGCTCCATTCTGGAAAACCTGAGAAGCAAAATACAAAAATTAGAATCTGATGTCTCTGCTCAAATGGAGTACTGCCGCGCTCCGTGCACCGTTAGTTGCAATATTCCTGTGGTGTCCGGCAAAGGTAACTAGTTCATCAAGGTGAACTTTAGAGACCCTAAAAGGCAGTCAAGTGGATTTTCCCCACTACAACAGAATAACCCGATGGCTCACGGTGAAGCCATCTTTGGCATGTTGTCATCTGCCTTGGCCATTGTTGCCAATTTCTGATGAGCAGAATGGACTGTAACGGTGGTGGTAGTTTCGGGGGTGGCTGGTGTTTTTGTACATGCTGTGTGAACAGATGGGAAGAGGCAAGCGTGCCTAATTCTATGTGTTCTGATCTTTTCTGGATATTTCAGGTCATCAACAGTAGAAAAAAAAAAGGCTTTTATCCATTTGCTTAACAATATAATTCCTTAAAACTAAGTCTGATTTTCAGCTAAAGGAAGCTCCAATATCTATAATATCATTCTCAGATTTCTGAAATTACCATCCTCCTCTCTAATTTTTATTAACTATGATAGTGTAATTAGGTAATTGGTGGCTAAAACCACGCAATTACGTTGTAGGCCTCGGAACATAGTATGTTATCTTATGTTTGCAGAATGTGAAGAAATTATCAGGAAAGGAGGAGAATCTTCTGAAATGTATCTCATTCAGCCTGACACTTCCATCAAACCATATAGAGTGTACTGTGACATGAATACAGAAAATGGAGGTGAGTATTGGGTGGTGGTTGACCTGTCATTCCATAAACATGTTCAATGCCAGAAAACAATACCTTGAGCTGGGCACCGGTGGCTCACGCCTGTAATCCTAGCTACTCAGGAGGCTGAGATCTGAGGATCGAGGTTTGAAGCCAGCCCAAGCAGGAAAGTCCATGAGACTCTTATCTCCAATAAACCACTAGAAAACCAGAAGTGGGGCTGTGGCTCAAGCGGTAGAGTGTTTACCTTGAGCTGAAGAGCTGAGGGACAGCACCCAAGCCCAGAGTTCAAGCCCCATGGCGGACCAAAAAAAAAAAAAAAGAAAGAAAGAAAAAAAAGAAAACAAGACCTTGCTCTAACATAGTTGGCAATGAACTACTTGATTTGGGATTCCATCTAGTATTTGAAAAGGTTTTAAATACCTGTAATCCACAATTGGGGATAAAATACTAAGTTGCTAATTCCAAAGATGTTAAGGATTCTCCTCTTATGTTTCTTTATTATAACAAGTTTGATGCACCCAATACGAACAGGTATAAAATGAACCAAGTGGCATTGCTTGTGCAGGTTAACTTTGGCTGTTTTTGTTTCCATCTACCAAAGGCTGGACAGTGATTCAGAATCGTCAAGATGGTAGTGTTGACTTTGGAAGAAAATGGGATCCATACAAACAAGGATTTGGAAATATTGCAACCAACGCAGATGGGAAGAAATACTGCGGCCTACCGGGTAAAACTGGGAGTGCAAGACTGAACCATTCTATTTCAAATGGGATTTTTTTTTCCTCCCATTAAGTGTCCATTTCCTAAGCCTTAGGCAGTCAGGGAGTGTTTAATTGCCAAAATGTAGAAGCTAACGATTTCATTTGCAATGTGTATATATTTATTTGGAGAGATTCTGTTTTGTTCTGCTTTAGGTGAGTACTGGCTTGGGAATGATAAGATCAGCCAGCTTACCACCATGGGACCCACAGAACTTCTGATTGAAATGGAGGACTGGAAGGGAGACAAGGTAAAGGCCCACTATGGAGGGTTCACGGTGCTCAACGAGGCCAACAAATACCAAGTCTCTGTGAACAAGTACCGAGGGACCGCCGGAAACGCGCTCATGGACGGAGCATCCCAGCTGACTGGAGAGAACAGAACCATGACCATCCACAACGGCATGTTCTTCAGCACTTACGACAGGGACAACGATGGCTGGTACGTGCACTTGCTCCAGCCTGTCGCGAGTCCCTGGCCACCATTCATGACGGCCACCATTCATGATGGCCTGGGTTATGAACAGCTGCCATTGCCTGGGCATTTAGTGTCTGTCAGCCACTGTCGTAAGATGCATAGCTGCTGCCTTAAAGCATTTCAAGTATAAAGTAGACATTATTATTGTCACTTTGCTGGTGAAGATCAGAGAGATTATAAGATTTGCTCAGTTACATAACTACTAAGAGACAGAGCCAGAATTAACTATGAGTTAAGAGTATGTAGATCAGCATCTATGTCTTTAACTTCCTTCCTTCCTTCCTTCCTTCCTTCCTTCCTTCCTTCCTTCCTTCCTTCCTTCCTTCCTTCCTTCCTTCCTTCCTTCCTTCTTTCCTTCCCTCTCTTTCTCTCTTGCTTTTCTTTCTCTCTCTTTCTCACAGGAATCCTTCATACGTTCTAGAGAGACACTTTACCGCTTGAGCCACACTCCAGACTTTTTTCAATTTTCAATTTTTCTATCTTTTGGATAAGGTCTTGTGTTTTTATCCAGAGCTAGCCTCAAACTATGGTCCTTCTACATATGCCTCCTGGGTAGGTAGGATTACAGGCATGCACCATCATAACTAGTTTTTTGGTTCAAATAGAGTCTCACTAACTTGCACAGAGTGGCCTCAAACTCTGAGCTCCTTAAGATCTTTGCTTCTAGAATAACAGGGACCACAGCTGACCTCCTATATTTTCCTCCCCCCCTCCTCCTCTTCTTCCTCCTTCTCAAGGTGCTGCAGTTGAACTCAGGGCCTTGTGCTTGCCATAGGTGCTCTACCACTTGAGCTATGCCTCCAGACCCTCATGTATTGTTTTTGAAGTAGAGTCTTGGCTGTGATCCTCCTACTTGTACTTGCCTGTGTTGCTGGGGATGACAGGCACACCATCACTGCTCCCAGCCCTTCAGAAAGGTGGAATCTCATTAACTTTTTTGCCTGGGTGGCCTCAAACTTTGATCCTTCAATCTCCACCTCCTAAGTAGCTAGGATTATTGGCTTGGGCCATTGCACCTGGCTATATCTTCATCTTTTAATGTGCATGTTAAGACTATTGTCCTTTTTTCTAATACTAAGGCATGTGAAAATGATGATTTCCCTCTGAAATAACCAGTGTAGTAATAATAATAATAATCCCTTCATGAATTGGCCACATAAACTCAACTGTTTTCTTGTTATGGGACAGAAAGGCTTCCACTGTCCAAGGGCCCAAGGGCAAGACTACCATACCTAATTGAATATGAGGCTCTCCTGTGATATCTGTAAAGAACTAACTTGACAACTGTAATGCTGCGTCTAATACATTTAAACACATTTCCTTTCAGGGTAAATGCAGATCCAAAAAAGCAGTGCTCTAAAGAAGATGGTGGTGGATGGTGGTATAACAGATGCCACGCAGCCAATCCAAATGGCAGATACTACTGGGGTGGACAGTACAGCTGGGACATGGCCAAGCATGGCACAGATGACGGTGTGGTGTGGATGAACTGGAAAGGGTCATGGTACTCAATGAGGAAGATCTCCATGAAGATCAGGCCCTTCTTCCCACAGTAGTAGTCCTGAATGTGTAGATTTATTTTCTTCTGTGACAACAATTTTTTTACATTATGTTATTGGAATTTTCTTTCATACATTATATCCCTCTAAAACAAACAATTGTGTGTGCCTTGTTTTGGAAAGGGTAGAGGATAAAGGACATTTAAAACAGCACATCATTTTCTTTTGTATTCTTCATTTACCTAGTGAAAAGGATAGTAGTAGATAGTCAGTTGATTCCAACTGATGATGAAATTTCCAATTAGGAGGAGGGATCAGCTGTCCTTGGAGCAAATCATTGAAGCAAACTAAAAACCTGCGCTTAGCTGGGCGCCAGTGGCTCACACCTGTAATTCTAGCAACTCAGGAGGCTGAGATTTGAGGATCTGCCAGCCTGGGCAGGAAAGTCCGTGAGACTCTTACCTCTGATAAACCACTAGAAAACTGGAAGTGGTGCTGTGGCTCAAGCAGTAGAGCAATTACCTTGAGCTGAAGAGCTGAGGGACAGCTACCAGGGCCAGAGTTCGAGCCCCATGACCAACCAAAACAAACAAAACAACCTGTGCTTAAGAGTCTACTTTTAAAACCCTATTTATTAATGTAAGACCTGTCATAAAAAACATTTGCAGACTTACTAATGAAACCAGTGTGTTTTAGTAAATTGGTTTTTTTGCGATCCACATGGCCAAGGAGTTAGACTTTTCAACTGTAGGACAGAGAAGTACCCATAATCTCAAGTAAGCTTGGTAGTCAGCATTAGAAGGGCTGGGAAGGTGACTCAGTGGTAGAGCGCTTGCCTTGCATGCATGAGGCCCTGGGTTTGATTCCTCAGCACCACATAAGCAGAAGAAGCCAGAAGTGGCACTATGGCTCAAGTGGTAGAGCGCTCCCCTTGAGCTGAATTGCTGAGGGACAGCACCCAGGCCCCATGACCAACACACAAAAAAAAAGAAAGAAAGGAAAAAGAAAAGAAAAGTCTAAATCTCTTGGTACCATGGAAAAACCAGTGCTGTGCACTTTAAGAGAATGTCAGGCTCAGAGCATCCGAAAGGATAATCAGGATGACGTCTTCATCATGGTTTTTAGGGGAAATAGAGAAGTGTAGGGCAGAAATTGCCTATTGTCCTCAACTGGTTTTATTTTTCACATAGTCACGTTCAATTAATGAAGTGGAATTAAGTGAATGAGGTGGCGTTTCTGTCCTTTAGTTTGCTTCCCATGAGTCTATAATTTTCACCCCAGCGCTGCCCTCTGTCCCTAGAATTGTCATCGCTGCGCATTTTTCGTGGATGGAACTGACGGTCCCCAGCTCACCTTCTTAAGGTTGCATTAAGCAAAGGTTATTCTCATATTTCTGGGGAATTCTGCCTCTCACTTAGCTCCTTATCACTTCTGCTTTCCCTCTGCTTGATCTTCACACAGGTTCTTCTGCCTTTAGCCTCTACCCCACCTGTCACTCCATCATCTGTAATTGTCCTAAAACCAGACAGCTGTGACCACACTGCTTGCCAGCTTACCCAGACTCCCTCAGCCCAAATCCTGAAGTCGGAGGTGGACATGGGTTACTTCTCTGTACCATCCCTAGCCCTGATAAGGGGATATTTCCCATTTAAAGGCAGATATTTCTGACCAAATGGACTTTTCATGATTCTAGAACTTTTTTTCCTCTCAATGGCTTTACTGAAGTAGAATTGATGTGCAAATAAAAACAAATAAAATAACCCTGCACATAGTTGATACATACAACTAGGCAAGTTTGAACACACACATATACACAAACACACTAGGATGAAATTTCCATTCCATATATATACATATATATGCATATATATGTATATATTACATACATACTTGTGTCCTCACCATGAGCAATGGATTACACACATCTGTCATCTCCTAGTTTTCTAGGGTCCCTTTGCTTAATTGTGTTGTGTTATGATAGAAACATTTGACATGCTATCAACCCTCTTAAATTTTAAGTGCATAATACTATATTGCTCTGTCCAAGCACTAGATCACACAGACGAATCTAGCGATCACTTTGTACTTGTAGTAACTCCTTCCCCTATACCTATTCCCTTGCAAACACCATTCCATTTTTTGCTGCAATCCTTGTACATAGTTGTGGAAATATGACATCTGTCACTATTGAAAGCTTCTGAACCCTTAATTATTTCTTACTTTCCAACAAATAACACCAGGCATCGAATTTATCCTTCACTTTTGAGATTCTCCTCCATCATTCTTCCCAAATCAACCTGTGGGAAAGGCTGGTTTTCATATAAATTCATAGTAACTAATAATAACTAATCACAATGATCATCCAGGTCTTGGATATTCTTACATATATATGTATGTATATATATATAAATATATATATATATATATAATTTTCCAAGAAAGGCACACCTGGGAGACTCAATATGGCAAATACTTAGTTGTAACCATTTTGAAGCAAGCCAGGCTGAGTACAGGAGTCCTCTGGGCCAGGGGTAGGTCCGGGGGAGGAAGGGGGCAAAGTGCAGGCCTCTGCCCTCTGCTCCTTTTGTGCAAACACAGAGGACCCAGTATGTCCCTGGAGCCTAAAGTAAAGCCACCAATTAAAACCACAAAAGCAGACAACCGGCTGGCCAATTCCTAGTTGATGTACAAATTGCAGAAAGATTCCTCTGGTAATATGTAAGTCTTCAGTAGAAAGCTGCAAGTTTAAAGCATCATTTAGTAGGAAGTGCTTCATAGCTGATTTTTCCCATTCAAGAACCAGTTTTCAATATAATGAAACAATTGCTTCTCCTAGTGAAGATGTGTAAAATAGTATTTTTAAAGATTTACCCATAACCTTATGATACTTATCTGAGACTTTTTTTCCTCCTTTCTTTTCTCCTTCCTTCCTTCCTCCCTCCCTCTTTCCCTCTCCTTTTCCTTCTTTCTTTCTCTCTTTGTTTTTGTGCCAGTACAGAGATTGAACTCAGGCCCTAGACCTGAGTTAGCTTTTACAGCCAAGATTGATGTTCTACCACTTGAGCCATAGCTCCACTTCTGTTTTTTTTGGTGGTTAATTGGAGATGAGTCGAATGGACTTTTCTGCCTGGACTAGCTTCAAACCTGCAATCCTCAGATCTCAGTATCCTGTGTCACTAGGACTCACACATGAGCCACTAGTTCCTGGCTTCTTTATCTTTTATACCTAGAATGTTTTTCACTCAAATGGCTGTCACGAGGCATGATTTGAGCAAACAGTCATCCTGAAAGTGGTCACAACCTCTTAGGTGAGCATTTCCTATGTCCTGCATTTAGGCTAACCTATCTCCAAAGGCTGAAGCTATTACCTATACTGTATTGCCTCTCAATTGGTCTCATGCGATTTTCTAAATCAGACTTTACGTTTTATAAAGTGCTCTTGTTATTAGCACAGAGAGCTGAAACTTTGTTCATTAATCTTAGGACCCTTAATCTCCTCCCACCCAACAATGATCTGTGGGCAACACATTTTTTGTTCGTCAATTGAATGATACTTATTCCTCTTAACTTTTTACTTTGAAAAGAGGTCTATGAGAACTTTCTAGAAGAGTTTAATGAATAGCTCTGTGTCCTTCACCCAAAGTCACCAACTATTTGCTGCAGTCGCTGTGCCTCTTGAAAGGAGATACTTTGGGGAGTTTTGTAACAGCAAGCACTGCGAGGTCAGAGACCCATCGGGGATTGAGTCAGTCTGAGTCAGGTGAATTTAGCAAATGTTTTCCAGAATAATCTATTGCAATCAGCTCATACCACGTGCAGGAACAACTGGTGGACAGGGGACCACTACTTAATAATAGCCTTTCTTAGCTCAGACCTGGCAGGCTCTCATAATTCTACCTGCTCTGAGCCTCTGAACAATTGCCTTTATCATGTGGAAACAGAAAACGTAATACACAGCTCTTCTTCAAGACTCAATGTGAATATCTTCCCAGCTGTGAGTTCCTTATCATCTTACTCATGTCCATGATGCTTACGGCCTTTCCTGCTCTCAACCTCAATCATGGATTTTTCTCTGTAAATGAGATTTATAAAGTACTTGCAATTCAATTAAAAAGTGAACTAATGAATGCACAAACAAATCAATGAATACATAAATACAGGCTATGTCAGAAATGGGTTTGAGCCAGGCACTGGTGGCTCATGCTTATATCATAGTTACTCAGGAGGCTGAGATCTGAAGATTGGGGTTCAAAGCCAGAGCTCAGGTAGGTAAACCCGATAGACTCTTATCTTCAATTAACCACTAAAAAGCTGGAAGTGGAGCTGTGGCTCAAGTGGAAGAGCTCCATCCTTGAGCAGAAAAAGCTAAGGGACAGAACCCAAGCCCTGAATTCAAGTCCCAATACAGGCATGAGCACATACACACACAAAAAAAAAAGAAAGAAAGAAAGGAAAGGAAAGAATTTCAGTGAGAAGTTTATTGCCACAAGGATCTTGTATCATTAACTACCAAAATCTAAATGTTTTGTTAATCTCAAGCTATTTCAGCAAATGGTACATGTTGCATTGTTTTGCCTGACTATAACAGAATTCTGCTGTGTTTGTGCATCCTCTATATACTTTAAGTTGATATGGTCTCATAGCCTTGTTTGAATTCAAAGCCTTCTCTTCCTTGACTTGCTTTGCAGCTGGTGTTCTACCATTTGAACAACACCTTCAGCCCTGCCTTTTACTGGATCTTTTGGACACAGACTCACAGACTTCTCTGCCAGTGCTGGTTTGAATTTCAATGCTCCAGATCTCAGCCTTGTGAGTAGCTAGAATTTCAAGTGTGAGCCATGGGCCCCCAATTTACTTTAAGGTACAAGAGTGAGACTTGAAGGGAGACAAGAGAAGCCATGCATTTTAGGAGGCCCGCATGCTGTTTCAAGCAGACATTTTACATGCCTCAGAAAGGCACTTAGCAGATTGAGCTGGAAGTTTTCTCATCCGAGTATCATGAGATAATGAGAGTAAAGTTGGGGTCCCTAGTATGTTACCAAATTGAAAAATAGTGAATTTTAACTTCTGCAGGTTTTCTTTCCTTTTGATCTAGATGTTTCCTCAATATCTTGATTTTATGGAAGCAACTGAGTTTTTGTTAGTTGTGGGGCTTGAATTCAGGGCCTGGGCATGCTCCCTGAGTCTCTTTGAACTCAAAGCTAGCACTCTACCACTTGAGCTACAGAGATACTTTTGGGATTTTTGTTGCTGTTCTTTTTATTGGTTGTGGGGCTTGAACTCTGCACCTAGGAGCTGTCCCTGAGCTCTCCCACCCAAGGTTAGCCCTCTACTATTATCAATTCATTTTCTGGTTGTTCACTGGAGATAAAAGTCTCATGGACTTTCCTTCCCAGGCTGGCTTTGAACTGTGACCCTCAGATCTCAGCCTCCTGCGTAGCTAGGTGTGAGCCATCAGTGTCCAGTTAAAGGATTTTTTTTACTTCAGCATTTGAGATTCTTTAAGGAACACTCTGAACTGTGTTGTTGTTGTTGTTTTTTAACACCAGTGGCAGGGAGTCATTTCATTGCTGCATTGTGTAGTAAAGAGTTCTAATAGGTGGGTAAAAAGCACACAAAACAGAACTTGAACCTCAGGAGCAATAGCATTGCTATAGCATAGCATAGCATAGCAGGGTGATGATAGTTAACTCGTTAGAGTTTCATATCAAGGATAGTACAAAGCATGCACTTGCTTCAGTGGGTTTGTTTAAAGTGCCCATTTTTAGAGAGAGGGGGGGAAAAAGGCTCATGTCCATAGTCAAAGACCTATCAGCATTTGTTTCCATCCATCGCTCCTGTTTTTTAAGGGTCTGTAGCTTCAAGTCTTATGTTCTAGTAACATTTGGGCTTTTCTTAGATTATTTTCTTATTTGTCTCAATGGTTTACAGATCTACATGAGGAAGCCAGGAAATACTGGTGCTTCTTTTGTGATTCATTTCCAGCGCTCATCACCAACCCAGCTGATTTCTGACCCCCCAAATTCTAGCCTCCCTGCCCACCCCTCTCCCTTCCTCTTCACTCATTCTTTTCTTCCTTCCTTTCTCCCTACCTCTCCCTCTGCCTCCCTTTCTTTTTTCCTTCTTTCCCACTTTCCTCTTTGGGAGAAAGGATGTAATGACATCAGGATAGAAGCTATACCATTAGGGTGATGTATCAGATTACTTGGGATATTTCAACACCTACTTGAGAACCAATGGCAAATAGTTATTACAACAAAGAACAAAGAAAAAAAAAAGGTTGGAGACAGGAGTCAAGGCTACCACAATTAAAGATGTACCTTAAATCAAATAAAATATTGACTGGTGTCAAAATAAATATGTTGAATTTATGAAACTGGTAGGGATCACATTTAGTGAGATGCTTTCAAACCAATGAATTACTTTTAATAATGCATCCATAGACTATAATGTATAAGTGATAGAAAAACAAAGTCACATCAATAGTGGGGGTTGTTTAATCAGTTTGCAAATTGAAAATCTGCTTTGGGAATAATTACAAAGATTCTAAGTGCATCTATTTTGCCCATGTGGTTTTGAAAGACGTTGACTAGCCTGAAAAAAAGATTTAAGTTCACACTACGTGCTCCACGGAAAGCCTTAAAAGAACAGATTTCTGTGCCTATGCAGACAATGTTTCTCCGGTCTTCTTGAATATTCTCACTAGCAAAAAAGAAGTAAATAAATAACAGATGACTCTCATACCTTGTTAGTTCCTCTACAATTTTTGTTCCGTTCAGTGAGTTTAAAATGTTGGGTTAAAACTCTCCGAATCAAGTGGATGACATAACTTCGTTTTGCAAGGGGGGGTGGGGGTCTATGGCTCTGGGTAGGGTCACCTTTCAGGGTGGCCCAGGGGCGTTCCCATGGGGCTCCCCACTCTGGAGGAAATGGTGAATCTTTCTAGAACATGTAAAACTCACAGAGCTACTCAAAGGCTTAAAAAAAAGCGTAGTTTTATTTTTCAACTAAGACGTCTTCTGGGCCCCAGTTGGCTACAGTAGGAGGAGTGAATGATCGCGCGCACCTGCGGCTCGCGGCCGGGCCGCTTCCCGGCGGCTCCCCTACGGGGCGTCCAGGGGCCTGACTTTCATGCGCACGGCCCGCAGCGAGTAATCGGCCCCCCGAAAGGGCAGCCACACCACCCCGTTCTCCACCTCGTAGGGGCTGTTGTCGCGGGGGTCGTAGGCGCCCCCCGGGTAGTAGATGCCGTTGAGGTTGGCTGCCTGGCAGCTGTTGTACCACCAGCCTCCCCCGTAGACCTCGGCGCAGCTCTCCTCCCACCGGTCGGCGTCGCGGTCGAAGGTGCTGAACGGCATGCCGTGGTGGGCCGTGTACTCCGCGCCCTCCTCGGCCGAGCCCGCCACCAGCGCGTCGCCCGCCGTGCCGCGGTAGGCCGAGGCGTGCAGCGCGTAGCCCTCGGCCTCGGAGCCCACGCGGAAGTGGTACTCGGCGTGGGCCCGGTTCCCCGCCCAGTCCTCCAGCTCCACCCGCAGCACCGCGCCCCGCCGCGTGAGCCCGTGGAGGAGCTCGTTGCCTAGCCAGAACTCTCCTTGACCCCGCTCGTCCGGGCTGCCGAAGCCCGTCTTGTAGTCTTGCCAGGTCCGGTTAAAATTCAGCGACCCGTCCGTCCTTTGCTGGATCAAAAGCCATCCTCCCAGACCGGTCTCTTGATCGCAATAGACAGAAACCACCTTACTGGATCCCGGGAGCTTGATAGGGAAAATGCCACTTTGGGCACCTGCAGGGTGTGTTTGGAGGGCATCACCACAGTCTAAAAGAAAAACCAAGCCGGCCAAGAAGCCACTGTCATTCCTCCTCGCAGAAGAGGGCCTGGCCCTGCTGGATGAAAGGTGGCGAGCACTACGGCCGGCCTGCCTTCCTCCCTCCCCCCTCCTTCCTCCATCTTTCCCTTCCTTCCTTCCTCCCTCCCCCTCCCTTCCTCCCTCCCTCTTCCTTCCTCCCTCTCTCCCTCCCCCCTCTCTCCCTTCCTCCCTCCCTCCCTCACTTCCTCCCTCCCTTCCTTCCTCCCTCCCTCCCATCCTTGCTTCCACCCACCCACAGAAAAGGGATTATGTTGCGATGGAAATGTTTCCAGAGAAATGTTTTCTGCCTGCCTGCCTGCCTGCCTGCCTGCCTGCCTGCCTTCTTCCTTCCTTCCTTCCTTCTTTCTTCCTTGCTCAGAAAAGGGATTATGTTGTGCTGGAAATGTTTCCAGAGTGAGAATGTTTTCTGCCGCCCTCCCTCCTTTCTCCCTCCCTCCCACCCACAGAATAGGGATGGTGTGGCGACGGAAATGTTTCCGGAGTGAGAAACGAGTTCTGTCTGGGAAGTGCGGGTGATCTTTCATATTCTCTATCCAATCAATACCGTTCCACTTGTTTTTGCTTTGTTTTGTTTTGTAGCCTGGCCCGGGTCGGTCCGTGGATCGGCTGGCAGCCCACCCCCCACCCACCCCCGCACCTCCCCCCGCACCCCTGCTTTGGGGCGGGCTGGCGAGCAGCGACTCCAACAAAACTCCAAGCCGAGCTTCCGAGGCGGCGGTGGCGCGCGCGTTTATTGAGTGCGCAGGAGGAGCCGTCGGGGGTACAGAGAAGAGGCCGGGGGTGCGGGGCGCCCCGGGCCGCACGTGGCGGACACAGTTACCTTAGACTCGGGGAGAGGGGCGGGGGTCAGGGAAGGTGGATACCTCTGGCGGGGCGAGGCCTTGCCCGGCCTCTCTTGGTGGAGCGAGCCTCTTCGCCGGCGGCCTCGTCTGCCATTTTATAGTTCTTGGTCCCGGAGGCGGAGCCCCCTCTGCTGATCGTGCTGCTGCTGCTGCTGCTGCTGGTCACCAGCTTGCGGTGGGTGGCCGTGCCGCCCGACCACGGCTCGGCCTGCGAGCCGCCGCCGCCGTGCTCCAGGTCGGCGAAGATGTCCCCGTCCGCGCCCCCGCCGGGCTCCTTGAAGGTGGAGAAGGGCTCAAGCGCGCCGGTGCCGAAGAAGGAGGACACGTCGGGGTGCCGGCGGGCCAGCTCGTCCAGGCTGCCCCGGCTGCCGAAGCCCTGCAGCCCCAGGTCGGCCACGTCGCCGCCGCAGTCCGAGCCGTCCTCGGAGGTCACCACCTCCTTGGTCACCTCCTTGCGGCCGTCGGGCCCGATCACCGTCTTGGTGACCGTCTTGGAGCAGGCGCGGCGGGCGAAGGCCGGGCCCCCCGCGGAGGGCGCCCCCTTCTCGCGGCCGATCAGCAGCTCCTTGTCGGCTTTGGTGGCCGGCAGTCGGCCCGCGGGCTGCTCCTTCCTCGTCGCCGGGCCTCCGGACTCCTCCGTGAACTCACCCCAGTCCGGGCTGGAGCCGGCCGGCCGAAAGCTCCCGGCGCCGCCCGTGTTCCAGCTTCCGCTGGGGCTCGAACCGGTGTCCCCCGGCTGCTGCCAGCGTCCGGGACCCCCAGCCCCGGTCGTCCCCGGGTTCCGGCTTCCATCCGTTCCGGGTCCCGAACTCCAGTGTCCGGCTCCACCGGGGCGCGGGTGCCTGGGGCTTTCGGTCACCGGCCCCGTGTCCTCGACGTAGCCCACGGCGTCTCCCCGGGGGCTGCCCGCCCTCCCCGGGCCGCCCTCCCTCCCCGGGCCCTCCAGCTCCATCCGCATCTGCTGCATCTCCGTTAGGGCCTTCCACTCCGGAGGGGCCGTCTGCAGCTGGCTCTTGAAACTGCCCGGAACCAAGTCTGGCATGGGCCTCATCTTTATTATCGGGAAGTACTGACTCTCTCTCGGGGGAAGCAGGTCTTTGGCCATCACCTGCTCCAGCTGTCTCTGCTGGTCCTCGTAGTCACTCAGGCGGAGCTCTCTAGACAAAGCCCTACTGCACGACCCTTTGCAAGATCGGATTTTAATATCAACTTCCACCTGCAGAAAGACAGAGGAAACGGTAGAGACCAGTGACTCCCGCCACGGCTTCTGAGCACCTGGTAGTACCTAGTAGTGTGCGGTCTGGAAGGTGGTTTTATTTCTCTGGTTTGCATAGCTACCGATCTGAATACCCTATGATTTGCCTTGGGCGGCCATCCTTTCTGGAAGGATGCTGGGTAGAGCCAGGCTAAGCAGTCATACAGAGCTACTAGGATCCATCAGAGACTTAGCATGGGTGAAAGGTCAGGTGCTATTCCCCCTTCAAGAAAACCCCAATTACGAGGCTGTCAGTGAGACCGAGGCTAAAGCCATGAGCAGGGCAGACTGAAAAAGTTCTTTTGAAATCTACTACGTAGGCATCCGTGGAAAATTCTCTTAATGTCTCTGAGAATTTTTTTATCTGTAGAGCACGAGAACCAACTCCTGCTTTCCAGTACGGGTGTATATGGCCCTGCTCACGGTGTCTACTAGATACTGGCTGCATGAGTGACCCCTGTCTTCCTGTCCCCCATCATTCAACGACAGGGAGATGGGGCCTGAGACCCCCCCCCTCACCTCCAGGCGCTTCATATCTATCAGCTGAGCCCTGACGTTGTTCTGTAGAAGCTGAATGTGCTGTACTTTCTCCATGACTTTGCTCTTCAGGATCTCAATTCTGCTTCTCAGATCTTCTGACACTTGGTTATATGTATTATCATAATCTGAAAAAGAAAAGATGGGTATTGAAGGAGCTGTTGAGTGATTTTTTTTTATAGCCAACAAGCAACAAGAAGGAAGGAGGGAAGGAAGGGAGGGAGGGAAAGGAAAGGAAAGAAAGAAAAGTATTGAAGTATTGAAGGAACTGTTGAGTGATTTTTTATAGCCAACAAAAAGGAAAGAAGAAAGGGAAGGAAAGAGGGAGGGAGAAAGGAAACAAAAAGAAAGAAAGAAGAGTATTGAAGGAACTGTTGAGTGGTTTTTATAGCCAACAAAAAGGAAGAGAGGAGGAAGGGAGAAAGAAAGACAAATGAGTATTGAAGGAACTATTGAGTGATTTTTACACCCCACAAAAAAGGAAGGAAGGAAGGAGTAGAGAGAAAGAAAGAAAGAGGAAGAGAGGGAGAAAAGGAGGAAGGGAAGAAAGGAAAGGAGGGAAGGCAAAAGAAGATTTACTTAGAAATAGTCTCACAGGCCGGTGGCTCACACCTGTAATTCTAGCTACTCAGGAGGCTGAGATCTAAGGATCTCGGTTCAAAGGGGTAGGAAAGTCTGTGAGACTCTTATCTCCAATAAACCTCTAGAAAACCGGAAGTGGTGCTGTGGCTCAAGGTGTAGAGCACTCGCCTTGAGCTGAAGAGCTCAGGGACAGCGCCCAGGCCCAGAGTTCAGGCCCCACACCCTACCAAAAAAACAACAAAAAAAGAAGTCTCACAGTTTCTGCAGTTTATTTTGTTTCTATTTGTTCTCTGGACATTTAGTCTATGAGTTTCAGCCTTATTAGATAGTTGGGTTTTGAACAATGTCATTCATGGGTAATAGTTATGATGTCTTAGTTAGATGCTTTATTAGGAATCCAAATAAATACAGAAGAAAATTCTTTGGAATTAATCCCAAATGACACAGCTTGATTATTTTCCAGTTATTTCATCATAACCTTACCCAGTGGACCCAAGGGCATTTTCTTTGAAATGACAGCACAGTAGCTTCAAGCAGACATAATTTATTTTGAATTTTCACTGTCGCATTTAAACAACAAGGTACTAAATATGAAATACTTACTATTGGCTTTGGCAAGGTCCCCTCTCAGAAGCTCCATTATATTTCTGGTCAATGAACTGGAATCCTTGTTGTTCTTTTGAAAATCAAACAGTGAATTTTTGAGCTTATTTATTCTGTTGGTAAAATCTTGATTGGCCTCATCAATCAGCCCTTTCATCCTGCAGCCAGAAGGGCATTTTGGGCCCTGAAAATGAAGAGGAACAATAATTATACCATGGGTCTCTAGCTTGGATCCAGAATGACTTTGCAGCTTCCCATGTAGTTTCCATTGCTTCCCTTCCCCATTTCTTCCAACCATCTATTGGCTTTCAAGATGATAAGAGGATGTGTGAGAAGCCATAGAGAAATTCTCAGGGGTCACTAAGTCATGAAGTTGGTCCCATGGCACAGTACTCAGGTCTCAGTACTCAGAATCTTAGTACTTTCCCAGACACACTGTACCTACTACTGCCAGAGAGAGAAGGGCTCCTGGCTCGTCAGGCCCACTGCTTACCCAGTCATCATCGGAGCAGAAGGGCCAGTCTGTCTCTTTGCAGGCAGACTGCTGTTTCTCCATAATTCTCGGGCCACGCCCCTGTCCTCCTTGTTCTATAAAGTCACCTTCGCCAGTGTCCGTAGTCTTGAGAGATATTCATTTACATGCACAAAAAAGAGCAAGAACAACAACATTAGCCAGAAGAGAGGAAGTCCCCATTCTGTCTTCTTCAAGTCCCAAGAAAGAAAAGGCACCGTCACAGGATGAATTTTCACTATTGCTTACTATTGGCTTTGGCAATAGCACATATTAAATACATTTGGCATAGTACATCCAGAGCCCACAAGCTGCAAGCTTCTGACCTCAAATGAAAACCCTAATGCCAGTACATTTTAAGGGAAAGGTGTGAGAACCAAAGGTGCTTTAGTGTACAAGTTTAACTTGTGTTTGGCATTAAATCAGCATGTGATAAGTGTTGGGAGGCTCAAATGATCCATGATAAAGAGAAAAATTCTTCGAATCTTAGTTTAATCTCACCTGCTTTTCATTAAAAACTGCAAATAGGAAGATACTTGAAAACTTCAGTGAGTTCTTTCTCTGATAATTGCTGTTTCAGTAGAGTGAGCTATATTGTCTTAACCGACTGCCCTTTCCCTTCAGGTTTCTACTACTATCTTTAAGATAGACCAATAAGTTGGACAAACATTTATCAAGAACATGAAAACTACCCAATTCAGACATATAAATGCTTTTTTAAGTTTGCTCCTTTAGGTAACCATTTCTTTTTATTTGGAATGAAGATAGTGAATGGAAGTAAAACTAGTAATCAGTGACTGGAAATGTTTTTTGAACACTTGAGAATTACAAATACCAAGTGAAATTTTTTGTATTGTAAGACAGATAAAATAGAATACAAAAAAAAATTCAACAGACTTTATATTCTAGTGAAGAAGAATTGCTTTTAGATATTCATTATTTTATTCTATACCACTGACTTACAAGTATTGTGCTATGACTACATTCGTTTCAGACATTTTACCCTTATTTATAATTGGTTGGAATGTAATTTCATTGCCATTCAAGAGACCAAGAACTATAAGTATACAGTAATAAGTACCGCCCTTTGGTCTAAGAAATAAGTTATAAATAATAAATTGTATTTCAGAATAAAATAGTACAACAATACAAACATCCCAAAACTAAATATGCCAATGGGAAAAGCAGAGCGGTAACTGATACCTATTCATTATTCCAGACATCACTTCAAGTGATTTTTAGTTTTATTTTCCACAAAATGTCACTTTGTATTTGTCTTGTTTTCATAAGATTAGTGTTTCAAGTGCTTTGTTTTCTTTCATATATATCTTAGAGCTAAATAGTAGAAATTATTATAGTATTTAATAGTTACCTTGAAAGAATACAAATACTTCCAAAAAGCATATGGCCTTATCAACTAATATTTTCTAGGTTTGCTGTATGGTTCTAAGAAAACATATTACCTTTTTTTTTTTTGTCTTGAAAGAAACACAGAAAGAACCTTTTAGCAAAGCTATCTACAATTAAATGTTCTACTTATTATAGACATATAACAAGAAGTTAAGAATTAGAAAAAAAGTCTTCTTATAAAATGTTTTGTTCTATTAACTTACATAATACCTCCAAGACTTAGTAGAGACAGAGATGGAAATGGTCACCAACACCAGGAGTATGGCTCAAGAGAAAGAGCACTCATTTACCAGGGGAAGGCCCTATGTTCGAAGCCCAGTACCTCCAAAACAAAAATATTCATGTAACAAAATATGATGAACAAGACTGAGAATGTAGCTCAGTGGTAGAGTGTTTGCCTAGCATGTACAAGGCCCTGTCTTCAATCCTTAGCATAGTAAAAAATAATAAACAACCAAACAATGTAATACTGAGAGATGTCAAAGTTGCCCTGCGTAGTCCCTCCAATGTCTCCCTTTGGAATCCAAGTTGTCCTGCATCCATGTCAGATCCATCTAGGAATTTAGCTCCATAGTCTAGAGCCCACAGAACCACAGGTGTGTCAGAATATAGAACTGGTGCACGAAGAACATTGGGAGAAACACCAGAGAGAAAGTGGGGAGAGAAGACAAATGGTTCCATACCCATACTGTGCTGGCCACGCTCAGCACCAGGCAGGTGATCCTCACAGTAAACATCTTTCTTGAGTCTGGGGCTGGCTCCTGAGGAGCACTCCTGCTGGAGGAGGAATTACCTCCACTCCTAGCTCTCACCCCATTTAAATCGGCAGGACTTCCATCTTGGTTAATCATCACCCCTGTCCTGTTTAGACAGTCAAAGCTCACTCTCCATCCTTTGCTCTGGCCTTAGGTTGGTATTCCAGAAATTCTTGCTCAATTCATGTCAGCTTGCTTGCTTCCGATAAGCTGTTGCAAATGGCACATGTGATTTTCCAGCGGGCAGTTAGGGGAAGTGCGTGCTCAGGAGGTGGATGGTGGAAGATGCAAAGGGAGCATTGGAAGAACATGTCTGTACTTCCACACCTAAGGAGGGTGACAGCACCTGCAGCATTGATCGTGGGAAGGAGCCGTGTAGTCAATGATGCTGCACTGTGTGAAAACAAATAAAGCTCATCTGCTGTGACAGGATGGATACACCTGAGGACACTATCCTAAATGAAGCGCGAGCCAGGTACGGTAAAACAAACAGCACGTGATCTCACTTACATGTGGTCTATTACAGTTCCTTAGATCACGTGCCACTGCTGGCTTGAATGATTCTAGAGATATTGTCCATTTCCTCTGCTAGATCACAGACTTGAGAACTGAACTATCTCATTCATCTTCATCGTCCCTCCAAGAGGTATTAAGTCCTACAGGAGCAAGAACGCACTAGTGGATCCCCTCTTGGGAAGTGGACTGGCGTCCTGCTCAGGCATTGCCTGCGTGTGAAAGTTGCTAGAGATAGACAGAACTGTAGCAGAAGGAAGGATCTCCCTGCTGTGCGAAGGTTTCTTGTCAGTTCTCTGGGATTCCTAGAGAACCCTGCTGGGTTCCAGCTGCCAGTGATTCTGTGGGAAGCTGACTGACGTTCCTGTCACCCACAGTGACAATACTGGCCAAAAGGCTAGTGCTGGAGAAGTAGGAAAAGCTTCACCTCAGACATTTTGCTGCATTCACAGGAAGTAAGCCTTCTATGAACACGGTATAGCAAATGAACCTGGGACACCAAAGAAGTTCCCAGAGAATAGAAACCTAGTAGGCTTCAAGTAAGTTGATTGAATAGAATGTCCTTGAAGGTATATAACAAACAATTTGGAGACACCACTCACCTGCCCTCTGGAGGTATTTCCCAGAATGCCACTGACAGGCATTGTCCTTGCTGCTCCTTGACTCCCCTAAGTGTCCACACAGCTGACTCCCTTATTTCATCCAAGCCTCTGCTCAAGCGGGACCCCCAGAAACCTTGCCTGGAGAACAGCATCTTCTCATGCTCTCCATTCCATCAGCCCTGCTTTGCTTTCCTTCATAGCACTGTATCAAAACTGGACAAGATGGCAGGACAGGGTGACGGAGAGAAACACTGGATTCTAGTGGCGTGGTAGGACAGACTATTTAAGTGCTCTGAGCTATCGTACTCCTCTATCAGCATGATGACAATATTGATCCTGCAGTGTTATTAAGAAAACATGTTAAAATGTATGCATAAGTAAAGATATGTACACATATAGTATGTAAATACATATATAATACATATATTTATATCATATATACGATTGGATATACATAGTGGGATCCTAAGAAATGGTACGGCCAATTATTCCTAAAATGCCTCAAAACCCAGTAACAGAAAGTGCCTAATTCCCTCCCTAGTGCTAGAATTCCCTATGTAGGCATTCTGGTAGGCACTTAGCCCTAAACTGGACAGTAGCAGTTTTCAACCCATGACAGAACTTTAATAGAAGCTACAGAAGAGAAGCGTTTTTTTGTTTTGTTTTGTTTTTTTGGGGGGGTCCAGTCGTGGGGCCTGAACTCTGGGCCTGGGTGCTGTCCCTCAGCTCTTCAGCTCAAGGCTAGCACTCTACCACTTGAGCCCCAGCACCACTTCCGGCTTTTTTTTCCTGCTTATGTGGTGCTGAGGAATCGAACCCAGGACCTCATGCATGCAAGGCAAGCTCTCTACCACTGAGCCACCTTCCCATCCCAATTAGTTTTTATTTAGACAGGAAGACTCATAACCAACACACAATATAAAAAGTAGAAAAATTTTAAAAGAATGTAAGCATAGAACATTTTTAATTTTCAAGAAATGTTCAATGGGTGAAATTGGATTTTGGTGTGCATTTTATTTCCTCCCAGAAATGACTACACTATTTTCCTTAGCTGTAACAACAGGGATGGGTTGATTCATTCAATCTTTTGAAATCGATGTGCTATGACACCATTTATAGATATTTAAATGCAAAATCTCACACATTCATGCTATCTGGCAGGATCAGAATAGTTTGACTTCTATATGTTGTGTAATGAATACAGGAAGAACAGAATCCTATAGCTGTAACTACATTCAGTTTTTTAAGTGTAGCTATTCATCACATGAAGAGTAAAATATGTAAACAGTGAATTTGCCATCATGTAAAAACAATTTAAAAACACAAAAGGAAGCAACAGAACAGCAGTTTTCTTTTGAATGGCTACCTGTTCTTCCCTAAACCATGGAAGAAAGGCAGGGTCCTACTCTTTGCCAATTGTATTCTTGGTGGTGGTGGTTGTGGGACTTGAACTGAGGGACTGAGCATTGTCCCTAAGCTTTTGTGTTCAAGGTTAGCACTCTACTACTTTGAGCCACAATGCCACTCCTGGTTTTCTAGTGGTTAATTGAAGATAAGAGTCACGTGGACTTTCCTGCACCAGCTGGCTTCAAACCATGATTCTCAGCCTCCGGAGAAGCTAGGACTATAAACATGAGCCACTGGCGCCTGGCTGCCAATTTATTTGAAAAACTGAGCTCTGAGTGCAGTTCACTTATTCATGAGTTTGTGTTTAACTCTCATTTATCACAGGTATACAATTTGTCCAGTCCTGTATGCTGTATGCTTGAGACAGAATAACAAGTAACAGTTTTTTACCTTCAAGTTATTTCTTCTCAATGAGCTAGCCAAATAAGTACACAACAACAACAAAAAGAAGTTAAACCTTATAAAAATGTCTATATTAATATCTGAGGATGATAAAGACCTGCAATTGAAATAGTTATATAAAACGAGAAAAATTATGTAAGATAGAACATAGAAAACAAGGAGTAGATCTGGCTTAGTGGTAGAGTGCTTGCTTAGCATGCACAAAGCCTTGGGTTTGATTCTTCAGTACCACATAAACAGAAAAAGCCAGAAGTGACATTGTGGCTCAAGTAGAAGAATGTTAGCCTTAAGCAAAAGAAGCTCAGGGATAGTGCCCCAGCCTTGAGTTCAAGTCCTAGGACTGGCCAAAAGAAATAAGGGGAAAAAAAAAGAAAACAAGGAGTGATTTCATGCTTTTGGTCACCATATATTATATATATAATATGATATATGTAATATTCATGCAAACATTTAATTCAAGTCTCACCATGCATGAGACAACTGAAAAATATTAGTATGTCCTCTCATAAAAGTCTACATGGGGATGCAGAACATGGAGGCTCACACCTGTAATCTCAGCTGAGCAAGAGGCATAAATAGCAGGGACCGTGGTCTGGGGAGGGCCTGACAAACGCGCAAGACCCTAACTTTAAAGAAAAAAAATTAAAGCAAAAATACCTAGAGTTGTGGCTCAAGTGACAGAATACCTGCCTAGTAAGCCAAAGACGCTGAGGTCAAACCCTACTACTGCAAAAATAAGAAAGGGCTATATCAATATGCACCTTCACTATCCCCATAATAACACAGGGTGCTTGTTATTAGATACCAAGCAGATAACGGTACTTCAATATGAAACACTTTAAAGTAATATTAAACTTATAATTAGAAAGTCTAAAAGGACTTCTTCAATTTGAAATGCTTACATTATAAAAGTGCAGTAGGTCTGGCCTTGGCACACACCCTTGCGGAGCCTTGGCTTGTGTTTTCGTGTTTTCCGACGGGGCGGCTGGTCATAGAGGAATTCACTGAACACAGATGAGCTGTGAACTGGTTGCACTTCAAGCCTGTGTTCCCAGAGTTTTGTAAAAGTTTGTTTTTACCCACACACTTGCTGAGAAAGGCTGATGAGGTAGTCATCCACAGAATGACTAACCCGTTTATTTTCCGAACTTGTCAATACTTGGCCCCTGAAGGTGTCCTTGGAAGTTACACCTGTAGAGAAAACGGGAATTTCTGTGAATGCATAGAAATGGAGGAAATAAGAGCTTTAAAAGAAAAAAGTGTTACTTGCTTTTACTATGCTGCAGGTCCATTCATCTCCTTATTCAAGAGCGAAGTCCAGCTCAGTTCTGACAGCGGAGCTCTTTTCCAGAGAGACACACTGACTAATTGTTAGCAGTTTGGGAATTCACATCGAGCATTTCACAACCATATAATCAACTATCATTCGACAACATCAAGATTTCTATTTTGTAATGTGGGAATCGAACCCAGGGTCTTGTGCGTGCTAGCTTTCCACCACCAAGCTACATCTATCCCCATTCCTTGGCCTTTAGAGACAGCTTGCCTGGCTATGTGTCCCAGACTGGACTTCAGTATGTGATCTCCCTGCCGCCGCCTGCCAAGTGCCACAAGTTCGCAGCACGTGCCACCTTGCCTGCCTAGCAGTTTCCTTCCTGCCTTCCTTCCTTCCTTCCTTCCTTCCTATTTCCCTTCCTCCCTTCCTCCTTCCCTCCCTCCCTCCTTTGCTTTCCTCTCCTTCCTTCCTTCCTTCCTTTCTTCCTTCCTATTTCCCTTCCTCCCTTCCTCCCTCCCTCCCTCCCTCCTTTGCTTTCCTCTCCTTCCTTCCTTCCTTCCTTCCTTCTTTCCTTCCTTCCTTCCTTCCTTCCTATTTCCCTTCCTCCTTCCCTCCCTCCCTCCTTTGCTTTCCTCTCCTTCCTTCCTTCCTTCCTTTCTTTCTCTTTCTCCTTTCCTTCTTTCCTTCTTTCCTTCCTTCCTTCTTCCCTTAGCATAATTTTAATGGCCTTTTATTTAAGTACTTTTAGTAAAGTCCCCACTAAGTATTTATGAATCTATATGTGTGGGAGAGAATGAGGGAGAAAGAGGTAGAGCGA